TTTTGCCCCTCCCCCTACTCTCTGTATCCCTCAAATAAATAAATAAATAAAATCTTTAAAGAAAATAAATAAATCTTCCAAGAAGACTCAGAAAGACGCTGGAAGTGGAGGTAAATTTTATTGCATAACATGAAACACTCATCTTCTCCAACTATCTCCTCAGAGTCCTGCATATCACACCAACTACTGAACCAAAATAATTTCTTCCAATTCCTCCCTTCTGTTTCTCCAAAAATCACAAAAAAAGACCTTGAACTGAAGCAGTTAAACAAGGAATTCCCCAGAAGATACACATACAGTAGATACATACCAGGAGAATTTATATCCTGGTCACACTTGCTTCAGTCAATTTCAATACCTGAGACAGGTGTTGGCTCTTGCCCCAGATCTAGAGCTCTCCTGGTCAGGCATTATGTTCAAAGTCACACTGTGGGATTAAGAAAACAGAACTAAGGCGTGAAGATCTAGGTTCAAAATTCAGTCCCATCACTTAACTAGTTGTTTGAATGTGGAAAGTTACTTTGTTTGTGTGAACCTGTTTTCTCAACTATCAAAGAAAAATAAAAAAATCTAACTTCACAGTACTATTGTCAAGATTCAATGACACAGTTGAATCAAATCTGGAAACAAATGGGTACTCATATAGACTGTGCCAATTCTGAGAGGCAGTCAGTATGAGAGAGGACTTAATCCCTTACAGAGGCCATTTCCCTCATTTATGTCCTGTCTTTTAGGAAGATATGAAAGCTTCCTGACTCATACAGTATGAGTCCACTCATTGATGTGGTCTTTGGGTAATGGTACAGTTTCTATGGGCAGAGTATCCAGTATTAGAGATTTGTTTTCTGTGTACTACATGACTACAAATAAGGGGACACCTAGGTGTTCAGTTGGTTAAGCATCTATCTGCCTTGAGCTCGGGTCATGATCTCAGGGTTCTGGAATCGAGCCCCACATCAGCTCCTTGTTCAGCAGGAATCTGCTTCTCCCTCTGCCCCTCCCTCCCTGCCCCGCTCATGCTCTCTCTCTCTCTCTCTCTCCCCCCTTTCTCTCTCTCACTCAAATAAATAAGTAAATAAAATCTTTAAAAAAAAATAAGAAGATGGCAGAGGATGGGTTGGACTGCCCTACACCATCCTTTGTCAGGAAAGATTAACAAATCCCAAAGAACCAGGTACCTGGTCTCTGAGACTTGCTCTTCACCCCTCTGTCCCATTCAGAGGTTTGCTATGTTGCTGGTTGTTAGAAATTTAATTGAGCTTCAGTTTGTCTCTGCCTAGTTTTATTGACTATTTCAACAGTGCCAGAAATGTCTAGTCCCCTAAGAGCATTAACCAAGCTATCTGGAGTATGGAACAGATTGCTGTTTATCCAACTTGGTGTCAAATCCAAGGGGAAATCTTCTGAACTGAGGAAGATTCGGGACTGCTGCGTGGGCTTGTGCAACATGTGGACCCCACTAAGGGGGTAATGGAGGATGAAATTAAGTCCTGAGTCATAGCACAAGGGTGTAGTTTGCAGAAGGGATGTCGTCTTCATAACTGCATGGAGAAGGTGAATTTTTTGTTTAATTCTTGCAAAGTTTCTAAAGATATTGGCCACAGTCCTGGAGAGCTTGATGAACCTTCTGGCAATTAATCTGAGAATATTAGGATGAGATGGAAACTTATCAGAACTCCTTAGAGGAAAATTGCTATTGTATGGACAAGATCTTAATTGTTTTCAAGACTCTCATAGAGGCCATTGCCTGCCCCAGAGAAGATTAACGACCAAGACCAAACTCACATATTGAGTAGAAGCCTTCAGTAAAAAAGGAAGCCAGCATTCTAAAAATGCCAAAGTCAGTTGAAACACAGGAAATTCAGTCTGGCAGGTTGTCAAGAATTGGTGGTTTCATTTCATTCACTTAAGCTATTTAACATAACAGGAATTCTGACTTCTCACCATCAGACAATCTCCTCCATTAAAAAAAAAAAAAAAAATAGTCATCTGTTGGAGTCATATGCTTGCCAGGACAAGAATTCTTTCTCATTTTGCACTTGCATTGTTGAAAGCTGCAATAACAAGTTTGTAAACAGAAATGTCTTCTCAGGCTTGGTAATGAGTCAAGATTCTTCCCTCAATACGGAGAGAGAACTTCAGTAAAGATATCTGTTGTAAAATTTGCCACATTGCTTAGATACTTATGTTTGTCCCTTGCAGTAGACTCTGAATCACCATCTCTTATCCCAGGGTAGGAACATTGTTTTGTTTCTCTTCCAATGCCTGAGATACAACAGATACCCCCCAAATTTTTTGTTGATTAAATGAATGAACGAACTAAAGTTAAGACATTACAGTCTTTTTTTTCAAAGCTCAATGTGAACGTTGCTCTATGGTAGTCTAACAGGAAAGTTTAAATAGATATATTCTTGATGGATGAAAATATTTTATGTGTGTACTCATGTGTGTATATTTCATGTAAATATAGATGTATATAATGTATCACGATACATTATATATTATATGCTTTATATATGTGTGTGGGTTATATATGCATATAATACAGAATATTTTCCACTTCTTTACCAGCATCCATAACAAATGAATAGCTTTGTCTAGCTACCATTAAGGATTGGGAAAGAGGTACATTTTGTCATTGTTTCCAAATGATGAGCCAGAAGTTCTTAAATATCATCTTTCCTGTCCAGGAAGATGTAAATCTACACCTTCCGGCACAGTACAGATGTTTCTCTAGACCCTTTTTCCCCAAGCGTGGCCTGTGAATATCATCTGGGGGATTGATAGACATATAGAATGTTGTCTTTACCCCTGACCTGCCAAATCGGAATCTGCATTTTAGCAAAATGCTGCACTGGAAGACCATGCTAAAACCAACGTCCATAGGCTTCCATGATGAATTATTTAACTACACCTGGAGTGGTGGCCAATGCCTGAGACAAGTAAGTTGTATTTTTAATGAAGAGGAGGTCCCCTCCATAGCCTCCCAGCTCCTGAATCTTTCTGCTTGACTTTGAAAAAGATGGGAGGCAGTCCATTGCCAAACCCATCCTCTTTTCTCAAAACTTGGCTACGGCAAAGTAAGTGCTTGGATAGAACGGGCAACATAAAATATTGACTTTTTGAATTTGTGAAATTACTTCAACCGGTGCTTTGTTTTCTGTGCCTTGTCTGCCTGGGCTGTCTTTCTTATAATAAAATAACTATATAAAAAAAAATAATAACTATATAGCTTACTCTACACTTGACCTTGCACAGAACATTTATGAACATTCAGGTTTTTTGTGTTTTCTAAAGATGCTTTTATGATATTATGATAGCGACAGTGATGGTAATGTTATGCTAAGAGCACTGCAAAAGCTCTCTTCTAATCATGCTTCCCAGTCTGCTCAGAATTCTAACTAACTGGTGATTCTCAAACCAAGTTCTGTGGAGCCCTCCATTTTAGATAACGCAGCAGGAGAGGAGTGTTGGGGGAGGCAGCTGAGTGACTTGGTGTACCCACACGGGGTGAGGCTAATATCTAGAGGATGGTGACACGTATTTTTAAAAATATTTATTTGAGAGACAGACAACATGAGCAGGGGCAGAGGAAGGGGAGAAGGAAAAGCAGACTCCCTGCTGAGCAAGGAGCCCAACTGTGAGCTCGATCCCAGGACCCTGAGGTCATGACCTGAGCCAAAGTCAAATGCTTAACCAAGAACCACCCAAGTGCCCTGGGTGACACATACTTAACCATCTTTACTTTGACTGCTTTTATATATTAGAGTCTGATGATATTTTTAATATAAATTTTCTTTAGGCATAAGATTCATACACAGCCCTTGACCCAAATAATTGCTGAGGTCCTGAAGTTAGTAGATCCTGGAATATTTAGTATGAAAATTTTTCTGGAAAGGAAAGAGAAACATGAAAGAGAATGAAAAACTATATTCTGGTTTGAAGTGTATTTTTCAGCCCATGGGGGCTGGTAGAAGTTGTTAGCATTTTTCAGCTTCAGACCCAGGTTTCAGCAATTAAGTGAGGTGTTATCATGAGGGAATACCAATACAGGTAACATTTAAAATTTTTTTAAATTTTTCTCAACAAGCTAAGCCCAATCAACCCTCCTAGAGTGAATAAGATAATGCCTGCAGTTGTTTTGATCTGCTAATGTTTGGCTTATTTATTAAATAGCAACAGAAAAAATACTCAACACACTGTGTCAACTACGATAGAACTCTGTGGTCCGATTGATCAACTCAATTTCTGCTCTAAATAATTAATTCATCATTAGAAGTCAATGCTATTAATTTTAGGCTATATTGGAGTCACTTTCACTTCCTAAGGGAACAGGTTTGGCTTTTGCTCATAAACCACGTACATCATTCTACCTTCGTAACTAATCTAATTTCTCCATTTTCATCATGACCAACCATTCAGTTATCAAAATCTTCTGATACTTTATATTTGCAATGTCTTCTAAATTCCCTCTTGCTAAAATTCCTCTAACAACTGCAGCTTCTTAGCCTCCTGACTCCATATTCCTGGTCCTATGGGCTGCCATCAGATTGTCTTTTTTTTTTTTTTAAATCACATTTATTCTGCTATTCAATTGCCCCCAAATCCTCCCCCGCCCCCCACAAAATAGTCCCATTACTTAAACTAGAGTTGCAAATGAATATGATGATAGGGGCCAGTCAGGTCCTGTAAATGAGTAGATTAGGCCAGCTGTAAGACAGTGGGGAGTGGTGAGAATTGTAGCAAATTGCATTTTGCAGTTCTCCTCTAATAGAGATAAATCCACTCAAGTCCCAATTGTTGCTAAGCAGGCATGTAGGCCAATATTTCCACATCATATGATTTTTTTTTCCCCTTGGGAAGACATTTTTCCAGATTTCTATCAAAAATCACCAATTTGATTTAAGTAGCTTAAAGCAACAGTCTTTTACTAAGTTAAAAACAGTTCTACAAATCAGCAATTTGGGTTGCGTTCATCCAGGCAGTTTCTCTGATCTTACCTGGGCTCCCTTTTAGATTTGCACTGTGCTGCCAGGTTGGATGGGGACTTGGTTTCTCTAGAGGTTGGATGGGGACTTGGTTTCTCTAGGATGGCATCCGCTAAGGGGCCCATCTTGGCTTCATGTGTCTCTCATCTCTGGAAGGCTAGCCTGGGATTTCTCCCACCATGGAGGCAGGGCTCCAAGAGTGAGTACTTGTAAGACCTTTGGAAGCCTAAGCTTGAAACTGGCACACAATCATTTCCTCTGCTTTCTGCTGTCCAAGGCTAATCACAAGGCCAGCTCTGATTCAGAGTAAAGACACGGACTGCATCTACTGATGGGAGGAAATACAACTTACATTTCAAAAGGCAATAGATACAGAAAGGAGAAAAGAATTAGGGCCATTTCTGCATTTTATCAAAATGTTTCTGTTTTTTAACTTTAAAATATTGTTAATGCTGGGCACCTAGGTGGCTCAGACTGTTAAATGTCTGACTCTTGATTTTGGCTCAGGTCATGATCTCAGAGCCCCCGAGTAGACTCCATACTCAACATGGAGTCTGCTTGAGATTCTCTCCCTTCTCCCTCTGTGTCCTCCCAAAATAAAAAATTAAATTAAAGGAAACAAAATAGGGGCACCTGGGTGGCTCAGTGGGTTAAAGCCTCTGCCTTCGGCTTAGGTCATGATCCCAGGGTCCTAGGATCGAGTCCCATATCAGGCTCTCTGCTCCGCAGGGAGCCTGCTTCCCCCTCTCTCTTTCTCTGCCTGCCTCTCTGCCTACTTGTGATCTCTGTCTGTCAAATAAATAAATTTAAAAAAAAAACTTTAAAACTAAATAAATAAATGAAAATTATAAAAGAAACAAAATGAAATGTGGTTTATACTAAAAAGAACATGGGTCAAAACTCTGTCTTCATTTGGCTACCTGTGCTTCCCTCTTCTGCCCTTCCTTTTGCAGCTATGCTTTTCTCTTGTCCTCCCCTTTCTTCTTGCTGTTAACCCACTGGCCCCAAACATGCTTCCATGCAAGTCTTTCATTTGTCCCCCATACCTGTCCTGCTCCACTTTTAGGTTTTTTGGTTTTTTTTTTTTATGGTTTTATTTATTTATTTGAGAGGGGGAAGGGAGGGGCAGAAGGTAAAGGGGGAGAGGCAGAGAGAGAAGAAGAGAATCTCAAAGAGACTCCATGCTAAGTGCACAGCCTGTGGAGCTCAATCTCACAACCATGAGACCGTGACCTGAGCTGAAATCAAGAGTGTGACACTTAACCAGTGGAGCCACCCAGGCGCCCCCTGCTCATGTTCATTTCTAAACACCCATCCAGAATGGCTTTCATCCCTATTTCTGTAGCTCACACGCCCATTTCCTTGATGGTTAACTAGTGGACATTCCTGTATCTCCATGAAGCATTCTTTGAGTACACCAAACTTATCCTCATAACACTCATGACATTAACACTTGTTTCCTGAACTTTTCCTTAGCTATACTTTGGCACCATTTCATATGGTAAATGATTTGTTTCCCCACCAAAACTCTGTTTCTGGGGTAAAGAAACACATGCAATTTTCTTGCATAGTAATCACAAATTGGGGTGTATATCATTGTCAACTACTGTGGCACAATGCTCATCCCAAAATTAAGTAACTTAACAAGAACAATAGCAATAATAGTATTTTGAATCATTTAATAATAATCTTTTAATTAAGTAACTTAATACATGGTAAAATAATAATAATTATTATATATTTAGCTCGCCCTACATTGGGCTGGCAGTTTAGGCTAGACTTAGATGGATAACCTGTCTGGTCTTGGGCTAACTCTCCCATTAGCTGGCTTTACTAAATTTGTTGTATTTTGTCACATGTCTGGGGCCTCAAATGGGATAAATTGAGAGACTTGTCCTTGCCTTAGTTGGTCTCTCTTTCTCCAGCAGGCTAGCCCAGGCTTGTTCACATGGCAGCTGGGAAGAATAACAAGAGAATGAGGGAAAGCTCACAGTTCTTTCCTTGTTACTTCTTTGCATTCTACTTACGTTAAGGAAATCACATCCTAAAGGAAATCCTTTAAGAAGTCACAAGGCCAGCCTAGATCCAAGGACTGAGGATATAGACGACATATATTGCTAGGAGGAACTACAGCATTGCATTGCAGAGGGGAACAGATAGAGAGAGAATAGTTGCACCCGTTGTTATAAATAACCTACCAAGCAATGCTGGCCTGGCTCCTAAGGATTCTTCTAGGACCACATGTGTTTATTCTTCTCATTGTGGAGAACTGCTCCGTCCTTAATCTGAGCTATATCATTAGAATAGGAATTATAGGGGCACCTGGGTCGCTCAGTCATGAAGTGTCTGCCTTCGAGTCAGGTCATGATCCCAGCGTCCTGGGATTGAGCCCCACATCGGGTTCCCTGCTCGGTGGGAAGCCTGCTTCTCCCTCTCCCACTTCCCCTGCTAATATTCCCTCTCTCATGGTCTCTCTCTCTCTCTGTCAAATAAATAAATAAAATCTTAAAAAAAAAAAAGAATAGGAATTATATCTTCTTCCATAACCATGCCTCCCCAAGCAAAGTAATTGGGTAAAGTTTGAGTTCCTGATCCAAATGTGGGAATTGTAGTCATTTCTCTGTGACCTTCCCTCCCATGTCCCCTGCCACTGACCTCCAAGACTGGTCCAGAGATGGGCACAAAACCCAAGCTAATCTAGTAAGTAATCTAGTAAGAATATTTCTCCAGGGTTGTTATGCTTGGAACTTTTCTCTTTCCTTGTCCTTGCATTAAGGCCAGTCTTGTCACTGCCCACATGACCAGCCATGGCAAGAAGCCTGACTTCATTAGGGAAGGATGAAACCCAAACGCAGAGCAAAGCAGAGATGAAACACCAAAGGAGTCCATGTTCAGGTCCCTCCTTCAGCTTCCTTCACACAGCTTAATAATATGGACCAAAAAATCTCTTTTTTTCACTTACTCTAGTTCAAGTTGTAACTCAAGTTCCTCTTGCTTGCTAGCAGGGTCCTGACAAAAACATTAGGCATATCCTTCAGAATGTAGCAGAGGTCTTGGCCCACCACAGGTTATTAAATAAATACACGATAAATTCAAACAGAACCTAATGTGATACCACACAACCAAAGACAATGACTAAAATGAAAATTTTTAAAAAGGCAGGCAATACCTGTGTTGGCGAAGATGTGGAGCAACTAGACTCCCATCCAGTGCCAGTGAGAATAACAATGAATATAACCTGGAAACCCCTTTGGCAGTACTGAGTAAAACTGAGTATAAATGTGTACATTAGGACCCAGCAATTCCAACTCTAAGTGCGGTCACAATAGAAACCCAAACATAGTTCAACAAAAGTTTAAGAGAACATTATTCACAGTAGTCCCAAACTAGAAAAAACTCAAACGTCCAATGGTAGGATGGATAAGTTAAGTTGTAGTGTATCCATATGATTAAATATTATACAGCAATGAGGACACATGAACTTCAGCTAATGTAACAACATAGATCTCAAAACATAAAGTTGAGCAAAAGAAGTCAAATACCGAAGCCTTGCATGATTTTCTTTGAAAAACCCAGGACATTGTTAGAAGTCAAGATCTTCGTTATCTTTGTGGAGGAGCTGTGATTGGAAGGGGACACTGGGGCATTCTGGATTAACTTTATGGTCTGTAAACTCATGGTTCCTGCACACATATGTATTTTTATGAAAAAGGAAATTTTAAAGGAAATTAGAGATAGTTTTTTGGTCCTTTGGACAGTTGCTGCTGGCCAGGTTTGTCGTCTCCCTCTGAGCACTACGCCTGGCACGTCCTTTCTCTGTAGTAGAGGTGAGAACTGTGAGAAGCACAGCTACCCTCATAAAGGAGCAAAGCCATGAAGAGAAAACACTTCTGTGACAAGGGAAAAACATGTTCCCCCACTTGTCCCATCTGTCATGCCATATGTAGCAGCTTCTATCAACGCGCAATTTGCTGTGTGTGGTTGAGGACATTCCTTCCATGGAGGAGAAGAACATGCCCCAATTAGATCTTAAGATTAAAACCCTTTGAAGCCTGAAGCTCTGTGAGTCAAGTCATTACCATGTGAAGCAGCATCAACTCAACAGAATTGCATCCTGGATTTATCAAAACTCAAAACTCCACGCCTAAAATCTTAAATTCCAATGACCCCATCTCCGTGCACAATCTTCCAAGGTTCCTTTCTTTCTCCTCACTTTTCTGTGTCTGCACCTCATTTAGACCATGACTCATAGGCCAGTCTACTTCCAGGCTTTATATGAGTACCTTCTATGCATGGTGATTTCCCTAACCCATCCTCAGGGATCCAGCAATCCCAGTGAGTCTAATCATTAACTTTGATTCTTTTGCTTTTTTTGATCTTGAATAACCCTTGCCTTAAAAAACCTCACCTCTACCATCCCAAGTGCTTTAAGCCCTATAGCTAGTCTTTTGAGATCAAACAGTGAAAAATCACAATCATATTACTACAAGTTCAGGGTCTCTGACCAATGCCCTGCCCAGTAATTCAAGTCTGAGGTTTGTTCTCTCTACAATTCTCCTCAAGGACAGTTCCAAATTTCTCCCATTCTCTTATTTTAGCTCCTCTAGTGCCTCCTTTCATGAGAAAATTGATCTTGTGAGATCTCCCTTCTGCAGGACCGGTTTCATGAGTGTGTGACCTGCTCACTCACACAGGGCCCCAAGCTTGGTTTAATGCTCTGCAATCACTGTCTTAAAATTCTTAATAATTTGTAAACATGGAGCTCCACATTTTCATTTTGCACCAGGCCGCATAAATCATAGTGCCTGGTACTGCCCTTCTGCAAAGTGGTGACACGTCATTTATATTCCTTTTGGCATTTCTACCTTAGAGATGAAGAGGTGTCTCCTTCAAATCAAGAAGCATTCTCTTTTTCTTTCCAAAATTTGTTTTAATGGTGATGTAATTCACATACCATAAAATTCACCTTTCTAAAATGTACAATTAAATGATTTTTAGTATATTCATTAAATTGTGCAACCATCATCATGATCTAATTAAAAAAAACAGAGAAGAATCACCATTAGCAAT